TTTCTGAGACGGAATCTTTACAGGAGCAGAAAGCCTCATTTTTCTCCCTAGAAGCAGCTGGTAGCTTTGAACCACCGACCTTGATGTTAGCAGCCCAACCCTACGGCGTCACTAAGGCGGGTGTCCCCAAACAGCCCCAATTGCATCTCATCCACCCACTGGTCACCCTAGGTGGGGAGAAAAGCCTGATGACTCACCCCTGCCCTGGGAGTCCCAGAGGCCACCAGCCTCTGTGTAGTTGACACTGTCTCCTAGGACAGGACCCTGGGCTGTCCTGGTCACAGCTGTGTCCCAGGGCCTGGCACACAGTAGGTGCTCCAGAAACAGGTGTGGCGTGAATGAAACAGGGGCTTCTGTGACTCCAGTTGACCTCAGCAACTGGAAAGCTGAGATAAGACCTCGCAGGGGGCCAGGGAGCTTTTGCAAACCGGGGAGGGGGCCGTCAGAAAAGGAGAGTGCGGGTGGTGGCACAGCTCAAGGAACAGAATCAGCGTCACCGAACGGTTCCCGTAGAAACGGGCAGCTTGGTGTCCATTCTGCTGTGCACAGTCTCGGCTACAGTTGCAAAAGCGGGATGCATTATTTTAAAAGAGGGGAAGAGGGTCCGGGAAGCAGCCTCTGCCTCCCCCCCTGCCCCCCAAATAAAGAATAAAACCCGAGAAAAGCAAAAAAAAAAAAAAGCAGTGTTCCCACCCCCCACCCTGGAATCCAGCCACATTAGCGCATCTGGCCCGTCCTTCTGGAAGGCCAAGAGACCAGCCGAGGCCACACAGGAACAGGGCTGAGGCCAGGCTATGAAACTCCCAGAGGCTGGGAACCTCTGAGTTTCCCTGGAGTGGGCCTGCCCTTGTCCTCTGCTCGGCCAGAGCTGGCGAGGTGATGTCACCCGCTCAAAGGCTATGTGTCACCAGCCTCCTCTGGGCTACTCTTGAATGACAAGTAGATATTTTCCCCATATTCAGCTCCCACAACCTTTAACCCACCTTATCCGTGCCCACCCGCCCCCATGTCTGAGTCCACACAGCCCCAGCCCAAGCTCTCGTCTACGCCCATGTCTTGGCCCTACTCAGAGACAAGAGCTCACATTTTACAAACAAATGAACCAGTGAGTGATGAATAAATCATATTTTTTAAGAGCTCGCGTTTTAATTCATTAATGTAATGCTTGTCAAAGGAGCCTCTGACCGGTATAAATGTTAACTATTTTACTTCTAGCTCAAGAGCTGGCAGTTCAAATCCATGGGGGGCGGGGG